GGAATGAGCTGCTGTCATGTGATTGGTTGACTAGATATCTGGAGTGTACCTAATGAATTGGCCAGTAATTGTATTTTATGATTACATCACTGCTTTCTATTTATAACTTGTTGCCTGTGATTTGCAAGGTGCCCTTTAGTGCTTAGAATTCATCACTTTTATTGTTGTGTTGGATTCCCGACGCAGAAACGTCCTTTAAATCAGTGTCATTGGAGGTTGCTTTTTTTTTTTTTTTTTAATGGATTGTGTTGCTGGCTTAAAAAAGGGTTGTTTCAGTGTCAGATTTTAGTAGCCAAGCACAGGATTTTCATGAGGCCAAGCATCTCTGTCTCTGGTTATAAGTTTGGCTGTTGTTAGAGAAGATGCTCCAGGAAAGTTAAGTTAAGAGACAGTCATTTGCCCTGTTGTCTCTTCTGCTTTGGCTCTAAAATGCCCTGGAGCTGCACATGGTCCTTAGCTCATCTTGTTGTTACACAAGCAGCTCGAAATTGTTGCTCACGTGACACTGTTTTCACACCCAAGACTATTTTAAATATTGAATCAAAAGAGCAAAATTCTTCACTGTTTGTATATATAAATAGATACAATAGTAAAATAATATAATAAAATAATTAATAGACAACATTTTCACAGTGACTAGAAAGCCCTAAAAGGAAGACTTACAGTGTAGAAAAGGCGACAGCTTTTTAAAATAAATGTCTAAAAAGTCTCTGTCACATATGCTAATTCTTTTAAAATAAATGTCTGAAAAGTCTCTGTCACATATGCTAATTCTCTCATCTGTGTAGAAGCCGTTTTTATCTCCATCCTCAATCTGAGCCAGTCTTCTGTGTTCAGTGCCCGGTCCAGTTGTCAGTGCTGACCTGTGACTTGTAACCCTATCAGATGCAGGCGACTAATTGCACACTAACCCAGGCCCGGCTGTGTGTAATCACATTCTGTAACTGTGAGCCCAGAGGCTGCGGCGAACACAGTGATTGGCGTTTCAGCCTGCCATTAAGTATTCATGACAACACCAGACCCTTGCTGTTCCGCTGGCCTTCTGGCACAGCACATTAGAAGTGCAGATACTGTAGTGTTCACTCAATATGACTCTGCCATGATGTGAAGTATTATCTGAGTCACACCAGAGTGCACACCTCATTTACAGATTACTTCAAGAAGTACATTAAACTTTCTATATAAAAAACAACAAGAAACCCAAGACTGAAGTCTGTGATTTGAAAAACAACAACAAAAAACCCAAGACTGAAGTCTGTGATTTGATATATATTTTAATATATATTCTTATTCTTTATTGGTATATTTTAATATATCTTTTAATATATATTCTTATTCTTTATTGATGCAATGCAGTGGTGGAACAGTGTTTGGTGTTATTGCCTTACAGCTAACAGATCACCAGTATGCTAGCTTGATGTTCGCGTTGTTCCTGTGTTTTATGGAGATTCTCTGGTTTCCTCCCACTCTTTAAAAACATGTCGCATCAAGTTCACTCTAAACACCTGTAGGTGTGAATGCCAGTGTGAATGGTTGTCTTCATCACTTTCACAACAACTCCTTAGCTGGTGTAGAAGTGATGAGTCTGTGTAGGTCCTCAGTCATCCAGGTCGTCTTATCCAAAAATAGTTACATCGTACCGACCTCCGTCCAGTTGCCCTGGATGGAACTATTTTTGGATTGTGGAAGTGATGTTACTGTGTTTTTGTGGCTTTATGGGTCTTTGGTTATATATTCATCTTGACAGTCATTGGTCTCCGTTGTCTCATCTGCTTCCTGGTGATGTACCACACACACACACACACACACACACAGTGTAGGTCTAAAAAGACGATTTTTAACAGAAGAAAATATCCCCTTACATGTTCATTGTAGATCAAGGCTACCTCAGTCAATATGTAAAACATAAGCTAAGTGCTATGTACAGTGTCTGCGCTAGCTTGTTAGCATAACTCAAACTGTTGCTTGGTTTTTCTGTTCCACCAAAATTACCAATTTGTTTCATGTATTTCTTCTGTCCTACTTTCTAGCCTATAAATCTCAAAGGTAATGATGGTAAACAAATACAATTTCTTGTGCAAAAAGTTCAGTCATTATTATTTTTTTACTTTGCACAGTTTGCACATTTAAACTCCCGAGGGGAAGCTGTTTATTTTCATATTTTTTTAAACATTTTAATAGGAAATTCTACTAAATATATTGTGGAAAAAAAAAGGAAAGAGTTTCCATCAGCCGAGGCCGAGGCACATAAAAAGATTTGACCCTCTTATTGTTAAAAATTCTCATTAAAGCCCTGTTAGAAACGAGGCCCCGGGACATTGTGAGCCGACACAGGACACCCCCGAGGAGCAGGGAGCACGACATGATGTGAAAACATCTCTGTGATTTTACCACCGCCGAAAAAGCAAACAGCCTCATCCATCTCGACAGAGGCTGCTTCAGGATTCACACTGGATGTAACGCTGGAGGTGGAGGAGATAGCACGGAAACAAATAATGTCCAGGAAAGCTATGAATAAAATATACATTTAAATTCCTGTTTCTGGGCTGTACATTCACCCACGGTGGATGGAGGAAAGAAAAAACACGTGACAAGATGTGGCCTTGGCACGCTCTACTAATAATTTAACATGAGAAGAAGATGAAGAAGATGGAAAGGGGGAGGCAGTAATCAGTAATCAGTCATCACTTTCCACAGGAAAAGAAAAGGGGAGGAGGGGACGAGGGAGGACAGGGTGTCCATTTACTGGCCAACTGTAAAGGGGGGAGGAGGGGTGGAGCCGTGTGACAAAACACAACAAGAGGAGAAAAAACACCCCAGCGAGGAGCACCTGAACAAGGAGGGATACGTTTAATTATGAGAGTGTACTGCAGGGAGAAGGGTGCCTCTAGTGGTCAAAATGTAATAAAATCGTATGGCATAGTTTTGAGACATAGCTAATCGCTAGAAGTTATAAAAAAGTATGAAAAACAATAGCTAAAAATTTGCCAAAATTGATGTAGAAATGTTACTGCAGGTGGGAATTGGAGAAACACAAAATATAAAAATGTCTTAATATTTACAAAATGAGGCTAAAAATAATCAAAGGAAAAAATAAAGTCAACCAAGAAATAACTAAATACACAGCAAAAAAAAAAAAATGTTAAAGGTAGTTCTGCAGGAAGAATAAAAAACAATGATAACAGTATTGATTTGTAAAAACCACCAAATGAAACCGTCCACAGAGAAACCTGTCTCAGTGCCATCAAATGTCCGTCAGGACAAGAAGACACTGGAGGGTCGGGGGCTGAGTGTGGTTTAAAGTCCGGCGTTGAGGCAGCAGTGAAGTGGCTGCAGGAACATCTCAGTCCTCTGGTGTCCTCAGCTCACACCACTTCACTGCAGCTTATTACCACCTCAAACACACACAATATAAAACCAGCACCAAATGAAACTGTGTGTCATAGCCCCTGCTCACGGTGTGTGTGTGTGTGTGTGTGTGGCCTGATAAGATCATGACATGTGATTATGGAACATGTTAGTTTGTTCAACATGAGCAGGTGGCTGCGGCTGATGCTGCTGATGCTGCTGCTGCTGATGTTGCTGATGCTGATGCTGATGCTGCTGCTGCTGCTGATGTTGCTGATGCTGATGCTGATGCTGCTGCTGATGCTGATGCTGATGCTGCTGATGCTGATGCTGATGCTGCTGATGCTGATGCTGATGCTGCTGATGCTGCTGATGCTGCTGATGCTGCTGATGCTGCTGATGCTGCTGATGCTGCTGATGCTGCTGATGCTGATGCTGATGCTGCTGCTGCTGATGCTGATGCTGCTGCTGATGCTGCTGCTGATGCTGTTGCTGTTGCTGCTGCTGCTGTTTACTCCGACACATGTTGACACAGAGGACAGTGGTCTTTGTCGAGCAGGTCATATAATACAACAGGCAATTACAGCAGCTAAATTAAAGGATTACTTCACTCTAATTACCTTCTTTTGTCACTTACTGTACCTGTAGTCACCCCCCCTCCTCCCACCCTCCACTCCCCCACACACAATGTTTTTTCATGTTATGTGAGGGCTTCACATAGACAATACATGGCCCAGATCAGGGTTACACATGACAGATCTTAAAGATCCATGAAGAGGCTCTTCCACCAGCCAATAGTCTGGGGGACGAGGTCGACACGTCGTGTTTCACTGAACCAAAGGTCCGTGTATTACAGTCGCTCAGACCATTCCATCTGTAATAATATGTAATGTAATAAAATTGCCGGCATAAAAGTGCCATTCTCGCTAAAAGCCTGTCAGTAAATCTGGCCTGAGCTGAAAACACAGACCAAAACACAGAGTGAAAGAAAAGGAAAATGTTGGCCACCATTTGAGGCCCACTGCCCCAGACCCTTCCTCTAACTCTTACAACTCTAAAATGGACATTTTATTTTGAATATGAATGTGGAAATGAAAAGAGGGATTTTTAAAAAGGAATCCAATTGTCTAATTGTTCAAGAGAAAATTCACAACACCTGTGCAATAACTTTATGGACCACTAGGGCTGGCAAAACCCCGATGGAAGAGCTTTGCTTCACTGGTTAATAACATTAAAATATATTTATCACTGTTGTATACTATAAGTATGTCATTCTGTAATCCTTTGTTTAATTTGAACATTTACTCATCTTTCAAGTCTGTAGTATTTTTTTTACAACTTTGACTGAATTTTAGACAGAACTTAGAACTAGATGAATAACCTTTGGTTTCATGTCATTTGACTGAAATGTGTGACAAACGTAGAAGTGCATTTCAAATGTTGTACTATGTATTCAAGTACATTGGTTTGACGCCTCCCTCCAGTCAGACAGCTGGTTCATTTGGCCCCAGGATTACATTATTTGTACACTATTAAAGTGGCCCCTGGCTTAGACCTCATAAGTAAACCTGGTATTCTGAATGAGATCATAAATGTTACCGTATGCCTGCAGTTATAAAAACATTCCTTTGAAATTACATGCCTGACATGGTATTTTATGATGGTGAATCACCAAAACGTTTTTATATGAAGATCACTTGGTGATCTCGTTGGTGCAGATGCAGCAGCAGCAGCAGCAGCAGACGTGAGCTCAGCATTTGGACAGTCAGGCCGTGTTGTGGTCTATAAACCTGTAGAACAACGGCAAAAAAAAGGGGAAAAAATGGATCCAAATGCCTCTGTATGGGGCTGTAATCACAGACGATTGAACCTGTAAGGATGTCAGATGACTCACAGAGAGAGGTTCCATCTCAGTAGAAGTGGATCTTCACACTCACCAGTACTTTGAGGTGCTGTTTGTGAAGCAGTGAAGCATCAGTGATTCCACCATGTTGGTATTTTCTGTGCTGATTCTGCACCAGAACCTGGATGTGTTTCCAGCAGACGCACAACATTAAGGAATTCCTCTCCTGAAATATTAATGATATGACCTGCATTAGCATCGTCATTATTCTGTAGTCAGCTGAAGAGCCTTGTGCTGTCTCCATGTCCACCTGTTATTGACAGGTAGACGCTGCACTTCTCAGGGTCATTAAAAACACAGTCAGTGATTCTGTAACTGAACCAGTGGTTCCTGCTCAGTCGCTCAGTTCATAGTGTTTGACCCAGAAATCCAAGAAGTACTTTAACTTTACTGAGTCGAAGCCAAAGTTGACAGTTCTGTTATACATCTAAATATACAAGTACTTTAACTTTACTGAGTCAAAGCCAAAGTTGACAGTTCTGTTATACAGTAGCTCAGTCCAGGACTTCTGAAGTTTAGGGTCAGGTACTGTTGACTTGACCAGGTACTAGGACTTCAGTCCAACTCCAACTCTTAACCTCAAACTCTAACGATGGAGCTTGATCACGACTTTTCAAAGTTTTCTTGGATGACTTGGACTAAAACGACATGAACCTTTCTTTCTGGACCGAGAGTCAGATTTAAGGCCAAACTTCACCTTGACTTGTCTTAGACTTGATCTTAAAACCTTTTGCGACTCAATTTGTCTCATTTGTCTCAAACGTGTACAGTGACCTGGTCTTGTATTGGACACAGTCTCCTTCAGACTCTGACTCAGAACTCCACTCTACGTCTCGTCCCATTCAAGTAGAGATAATTCATTCCAGACTGTCGGTGGGAATTTTTAAATCTTACTCAGTCTTGAACTTTGGACACAGCTTAAACCTGTCTTCTCAAAGATTCAGCTGAGAGGACGCTCCACTCAGTAGATCCAACTTGGACTGACGTAACAGAACGATGAAGTCAAATGTAATTACTCTGAGTTTTCCAGGAAAATAATCACACAGATTATCTCATTACTGCTGCGTCTGTCAGTGTGTGGGAGTTTGAAACAGAATATGACCGGGCAGGGACTCTCTGCTGTTAGCTTGGTGTCTGCTTGGATTGTAACCCAATTGATGGACTGTGTGGGTGAGAAGTAGGCTGAACGAGGTCATCACACCGGCTGGTCTCCTAGATCCACGTGTAGCCCACGTGGACATGCTGACCTGGATCTACTTAAAATAAAGACAACCAGTGAGATAATGGTTTGTCATCAACGAGAGCGTGCGTCAGTTTACACTTGAATAGAATTGTGGGTCACGTGATCCGGGTCCCACCGTGTTTGTGGGGTGAAGGGTGGAGGGTATTCAAATCAACCTTGAACTGTGACCTCCTTGACAACCCTACTCTTAGTAGTGTCTTAAAGAGTCCAGGACTTGGGACTAGGATGATTTAGGTGTGTGAACCATGATGACTTAGATTTGAAATCAAACACTAACAACTAAAATCTTTTTTCTGTCACTTGCGTGCTAACACCAGGAAGTTGAATCAATATTAGTATTGCTGACCCAGACTTTGGAAAATTGATTTAGACTTAAGATGGTTGGACTTAAACACCGCGACTCTGACGTTGTATCGTCTGAACTCGGACTCCAAAGACCTCGGACTGGATTTGAACCCTCAATCCTATACCTGCCTTTCTAACCACTGCTTAGATTTTGTATCCTTTAGACGTGAGATCGTAAAATCTTGATTCACCCCCGAGATTTGACTGAGTCCTAACTGCAAATTATGTCGGTGACTTAGTGTGAAAACTTTGGGGACTCAATAAAACTTTAAGACCAGTCTTAAAATCATAGGGATTTTAATTATTCTTTTCCTTACGTGGACCTGACTGAAGTCTTCACAGGACATCTTCATTAACAGCCATTTCTTTTTTTATTACTATATTTCCCCCCGTTATTTTAACTACGTGCTTGTAAATGTAACTTGGTTTCATTGGCTAATGTGCAGCTAGTCTTTGGTTAAATTTGGACAGTCAAAAATCACGGGGCTAAATCCTGAGAAAGTTGATCGAAGCCGCTCTCATTGCTGCTGCTGCTCTGTTCACATGAGCAGCCAGTGTTTACCTTCTGTACGTCTGCTTCATACTGGACCCTTTGAATGGAAAGTTGAGTGGCTGCCTGACTCACTAAACCAAACATGACTTTGTGTTTGTTAGACCTCTTTTCTAAAGCCAAATCTGGGGGCGTGGACTTGGAGTTGTTCCAAATACAATAGTACACAGTAGTGAGATCTAAAGTATTTCCCCTGACGTTTTATAAAACGACAAATACAGAACAAGATGCCTGCCTTCTCGTCTGTACTGCGGTGATCTGGATTGTGTGTTGTTCGTTTGATGAAAGGCAAGGACGCAGGTTTCCCACTGAATGGAAAATGACAATAATATCATGTCCTGCTTCTGTTCTGAACGATGAGCCTCTTTTACAACCCAGGGCTTTTAGTGAGGCCTGGAAACTGCTGCTCCATTAATGTCATAATCCTTCCAGTGGAAATTTGAGATTAAAAGAGAAGTGCTTCTCTGTTCCAGACAGTACAAATGTGTAGCTGCTCCATCAGTGCTGCAAGTGTGGAAAGGAAATGCAGGATAATTAAAGACTATATGTGTGTCAGCACTTGTTGTTTTAATCACAGGCTTCTAAATCTGAAACTTTAGTCACAGTGAGCAATGGATATACTTAAAAAAAAACAAAAAAAACTGTTTAATGTAAAATCAGAACCGACATATTTATCTTGTTAAAAAGGCGTTTAATGTAAAATCAGCACCGACATATTTATCTTGTTAAAAAGGCTGATTAAATAATGGATCTATTTGGACTATTATTGAATTCAGAGCAGAGATCTATTTATAGACACAGGATGAGAGACTGGTGGATAAAACATGTTACTGCATGTGTTGGTTATGATGGAAGGGTTTATAATCGGACGATTAGTCATATATGTGTCTGTATTACTTATTAGTCATTTATTACTGATTCAAAATTCAGTCAGACGTTCTTAAAGTGAACTAATAAATCAGAACGATAAGTAGGTTATGGGAAAAAACAAATGAGTGGCAGAAAAGACAAGATACAATTATTTAAAAATAATCATTTAAAATTGTGCTTATATAGAAAAATAGCTACAATTTAGTCAAAAAAAAAAAAAAACTAAGAAGAAAGAGCAGAGCAAGA